ATCCCTCCGTCCACATAACGCTGAATTCAAAAAAAGGAAAGGATGACTATCAGAATCAGGACACACAGAAAACAAATGACTCATTGTAAACCTTCTAATGGCATTAAAGGATGCTAAGCCCCAAAGCGAGCTTTACACTGGTTATGGTAACGGTGACATCATATCCTGTGGATTGATTACTGTCTGTTGTTTTCTTTTTCAAGCTAGAGGACTTTTAGGACTTTTAGGCACACTGAGTGAGTCAACAGATAAACATGGCAGCAGATTTTTGAACCTGTGCCACGGAGCATATGAAAGGACAGAACAACCTTAAAGCCTGTGCCAACATGGTCACGTCAACCTCTTGCCACTCACAGTTTGGTGACAGGCCCTCCACACACACAGGCACATGTAGGCTCTTATAAAACCCATCACAAAGGCCAAAGAGGGAGGGTGGGAACACTGGTGTTGTGCAAAAATAGTTTCCCAGAAAACCTTTGTGCTACAAACATGACTGAAAACAAAAAAAGTGAAAGGGTGTATAAATAGATAAATAAATAGAAGTTCTGCTTTTTTCCTAGTGTGAGATGATTAACAAACACTAACTCCTGGGGAATTATGTAATGATGGTTTCCACACATGTGCCATTCAGAACAAACACATTCTTGAGGAAGGGAGGGCACTGATGTGTGTGTGTGTGTGTGGGGGGGGGCAACTATGAGAAAAAAGTGCCAAAAGTAGAAACAACATAACACTAAGAGAGGAAATACAGAGCAGTGTTCTGGCAAAGCAGTTTGATAGCACGGTTCATGACACCACTCCAACATCAGTGCATCATTTAGGGCTCGTTTATACTAAATTACAGGACATCACAACATAAGGATAGTGAACACAGGCTGAATAATATTGAATCTACTCACCACTCCTTGCAGTGTGGGCGGGATGAGGCCACAGTACACTGGGATGAAGGCACTGCAGACACATGCCTACTTAACAAAAAGAACACAAGAAACATTGTTTTCTAATGTACTAATGAAAAAATGTAACGTTTCAAATATTATCGATGGATGGATGACAAAAATATATCACCCAACTATTGAGAGAGGCATTATATTCTTTTGTTGTTACAGTGTTACCATTTTTTTTTTTTTTGAATCCACAGCAAAGTACATCATGATTCATATTCATGCCCAGGACACTTCGATAGTGACTGACTGTTTTAGGGTCAAACCACCAACCTTCTGGGTTGACTGTCTCTACCACTGAGCCACAGCCGCCTCTATTATGATGTGTATAACTTGTGCGTAAAGCTATATATTACAGGTTATCACAAAATGTATTTTTAATTTACAGGTTGTTCTTTGTTGTGCGTAAAAGATCATATTCTGTTTAATAACATGTTCCTGAGTTAAACATCCAAAGCTTTTCATCAGTAACTAAACTAACTACTATGTTCCTAATCAATTTTACAACATAACACACAGAAAAACACATTTAAGCAGCGTAAAACTGTATCGCCCACAATATCACATGATGAGTATGGTGATATGAAACCCCCTAAATCCTGACAGCTGAGTTCATCATGATAAACAAACTCTTCTCTTAAGTATACAAATATGAAAATACAATCTCATATCTCAATAAGTGAAAATACAATCTGGTATCTCGTGAGTGAAATCAAACTGAATGCCCACCTGCACCAGCTCCTCCTTGTTGTTGAAGTGAGACACCACAACATTTTCTCCGTCTGCCACTCGGGTCAGAGAGATTCCTAACCGCCCGCTTGCCTGATTGTGACAATCAGCTGGCAGAGTTCGCTGTAGCACATGACGCACGATCTTCACCAGGTTAAATGAAGGATGCATGGGTCCCAGGAAACGCTTCCTCGCCTCTTTGGCAACATCAATGATGCTTGCACCAGCCTCTCCTGTGAAGACAACACGACATCTGTTACTGTGGATAATTAAGATAATTGGAATGTATTCAACCCAAATGATGGAATGAATGAATGTCTTTATTCAGACTACATCATGACATGAAGAATACAGGTTCAGTTAAATATTACTCATTAATATACGAGGAAAAGCATGAAATAGATTCCCTTGATTTTGATATGCAACAATTACTGTAAGGGTTTCTGTTTCCCCTGCACCAATTGTGGGACAAACTTCTGTTTTACTGTATCGCACAATAAACTTAATCGATTATTGTTGGATAAATTGAATACATGAAAATGCTACTTACAAGTTACTGCAACTTTATAGAGTAGGCTATAAAACCTTGCACCAATAGGCCTACAAAAAGGTTAAGAACCATACAATTGCCATAGCTTGTGCAATTTAACTTAAAGGTTCAAATTAGAATGATGGACTTGTTTTTTGGGGTTTTTTTTTACAGACTAATCTCAGTGTGGCTCATGGCAATTACACATGCATGTTTCTGGAAATAACATGGCTTCAATTGTACTTCAGCAGAGATTAAGTGGCGAAAAGCATCCAGTAAACCTCATCCAAAAGCTTCAAACAGGACACAAATGATCTTACCAAGACACACTCCGGTCACCAGGGCAGTGGCAGTGATTGCTCCGGCTGAAGCGCCGTAAACGTGCCGGGCGTTTTGCACCAGAAAAGGAGCCTGCTCCACCAGACAGCTGGCAACACCGACGTGGTAGATACCGAGGAAGCCGCAACCTGCGAACGAGATGTTCCACGGAGAGTCTAAAGGAAACATAGCGGGGACTGTCCGCGGCAGAGGGACTAAGGTCAATGTAACAAACGCAAAGTTGGCCACAAGCTGCAAAAAGAGCCAGAAGTCTCCTTTCACATTTTGTCAACCCTTCCTGTTAACATGCTGCCTTTTTGAATAACGTGACTTTTTGAAGGTAGAAGTAACTATGTAGCGTTGCAGGACACGTCGCTAAATCTTCATTAATTTAAAAAAACTCAAAGGATCTGATTCTCGTAGCTGTATGCTCCCCTACGCTTGTTTAACAACTATGGAGTCAACACGGGGGGGAGTTGTTATTGTCCATGCTCGGTTGGGGTGTACAGGGAGGAGGGGTGTACACAGTCAAACAACAAATCACGACGGACAACGGAAAGAAATGTGGCCAATCGCAGTTAAGAGAGTCGAACGAACGACCAATCACAACTCACATAGTTTAAATGCCAGGGAAGTCAATGAGCGGGCACCCACGTCGCGTTGACAGCTGTTCTGTCCTCTTCAAAACAAATCTGTTTGTGTTCACGTTTTGTGTGATCCCCAAATTCTGTAGAGGCTACAATGGGCCCTTTTCGCAGTATCTGTTATTATTAGGAATAATGAGTATTGATTTCCTTATTTGAACTAACTCAGTGTTTACAGATCGATTAAAGCAAACACTAAAGTTTGCTCTTGTGGATTTGTTTTGGTATCTAGTATTGATCTGTATAAAGCAGCAGCATCATATTTCTGGGAGACTTTGTTCAATTCCAAAACATAAAATAGGCAATGTAATAATAGCCTAATAGGTTGTATAGCAACAACAACAACAATAATAATAATAACAACAATGTAGTCTACACACCTGCCTGGTTTGTAATCACCTCAGTACAAAATAACAAACGGTAGGGATGCATAAATAAGTTGTAAAATCACATATATTTTACATCTGAAACACATTCAACAACAACAATGACATGTTTTTTTTTTCTCCCTGGAACATTTCCTTGAATTGTGCTTTCGCAGAATAATGCTGTAAATGGTCTATCTTTGTGCTGATAGGTTAAATTGAGGACATGAGTCCTTAGAGAATTTATTCTACAGAGTAATATCACACGTTACTCCTGTTCTATCAAGTGTTTGGTTTCTATTTTTTTTCATGGATAACCTAACCACGGGTAAACCTCCAATATCTTCAGGACAGCTCTGGAAAAGTACTGAAACTTTTAGTCACGCAACGATAGTACCACAAGGTAGAAGTATTCTGTAAAAAGCCCTGCATTCAAAGTATAGTACATACGTTAAAATAAAGTATAGGTATAAAACTGTTAAAGCTCCTTTGAGAAGTTTTTAGCTGCTTATAAAACAGGCTGAAATTAGTACTGATGCCTCTCTATGACCTACAAAAGGAAAAGACATTCAACAACAAGACTGACACATTTGATATAGTAATTCTGAATGTTCATAAACATTGCAGCTGGGTCAAAGTGAAGTAAGGCATACTGCAGAAGCAGCCTTTGTATACATTTTCCACAGAAACATCCAGAACCACCTCCTTTGGATGTGACAGAGGCTTTACTCGTGATTCAGCAGTTTACAGTCACTTTGAACTTTCACCTATATATCCTCTCAGTCAATGATGTGCTGTATTCTGGTCAAGGACCCTAAATCACTCTGGATTAATGCGTTTGGATTAATCTTGTATTCCACATGAACGTTTACAACAACCTGAAAACCCACGTCTGAACACAGAAAATCTTTTGAAAAAGTCAGCATTAAACTTGCACAGAAGGGACTTTCTGGTTCTGGTTTGCAAAAAGAGGACCGTAGTGTAAATTTACGACAACTAAGTTGGCGAAATAATCTTTTGAAATAGAGATTAAAAAAATGAATTAGCCTACATTTTCTAATATGTCTTTAAAGTATGGGTCAGTAAGATGTAGGCTGTTGTTTTGTGATAAGAAAGTGAATCAGTCCACAAAACAAACACTTTGGATTGAAAGTGGACTAAACAGCGCCCCCTGGTGGACGGCCGAGGTTCCGGCAGCGAGACAAACACGTTGACACATCTGTCCCGCCCTCAGTTGAAACTTTGGCGCTGCTTGCTTCAGTGCGCTTGTTGTTACTCACAGTAGCAACCGGAAAGGCGGGGCGCTGCTCGCTTCCAGACTTTAAAACAGAATTAAATTCCCGCCCAGTCCTCCGGCGGTGTAGGAAGTGAAGGAAAACGAACGAGCAACTCTTGATGCAAAACCTTCTGATAAACACAAGGAAGTAAGTGAGGGGAATGAAGAAAGGACTCATTTTAAACATTGTTAGCAGAAGTAACATGCATTCGTGTATTAACTATTATTGTGAACCGTAAAGGGACCATTAGATATTCATTGTTTGCAAACAACGCAAATATGAAGAGGGTGAAACATAACTTTGCTTCGCCTTTCATGGCAGTCCTTCAACTCTGTTTGACTTTTTAACTGACTGTATGCAATCACGTCATGAGGTGCGTTACAGACTCATAATGTCGGAAGAAAACCCCAGGACCAGTGCTGGATACTCAGGGAACTCGTAGTTAGCTGTCTGGTGTTATAAACACTAGGGGTGCAATGGACGGTGGAGCTCCTGATGCAGAAGAAGATGGAGAGCAGGCAGCCTGTCGGATTAAGGAGACAGACAGGTCGGAGGCTGCAGAAGTGGCAGTGACTCCTGCATGTTTCCCATCAAGAACGACATCAAAAGGTGGAGAAACGGACCCTGTTCTGGACCTGTTGTCCCCAGAGCTCTGGAGGGGACTTTTACACCAGGATCAGGGGAAACCAGAAAGGGATGCCCCCTCTGAGTCTCCCTCCAGCCTCATGGACACCTATGGTCCCTCAATGTCAAGCCTCTCTTCCTCCTCCTCCTCCTCTTACTTGTCCACCCATCGCAACCATGGTGCCAATCTCTCCTCATCCTCATCTTCCTCTTCGTCTGCCTTGTGTCTGACTCCACCGTTGCCTCCTGCTGTGGAGCTCCCAGCTGTGTTGACTGAGACTAGACTGACCCTGGATGTGTACCGGGGAGGGGCGGCGGCACTGCCCCTGATTTGGGGGTCCATACCGGGGAAGGTGAGAGGAGTCCAGTACCTGAGACTGGGCTCTGAGGAAAAAACAGGGCTCGACGGCGCACTGGATGTCGTATCTCATCTGACAGAGCTGCGATCTCTGGCCATTCGGGGTAATCTTCTTCATGCATTATAAATTGCTTGTTAGGCATGGATGGTTTAATATCTCTGTTGACATTGTGACAAGTGTAAAAACACATTTTGAAAACACTAGAACTTAGGTGAGATTCTCTCTTTTTATCTCCTTTTTTCTAGGACACTGTTTTTATGACTCCCAAGGGGACCCGCTGCCTGGCCTCCTCACCACTCTGCCTTCATCATTCTCCTCCCTTTGTCATCTGGTGCACCTGGATCTCTCCTTTAACCAGCTCTCCTCGTTGCCCTCCTGCCTTCTCAGCTTGCCTGCGCTGTCCTCTTTGCTCCTCTGTCACAACCACCTCACAGCTTTGCCTCCTGATGCAGGCCAGCTGTCCTCCCTCACCTACCTCTCGCTCTTTGGAAACGAGCTGGTCTCTCTTCCTCCGAGCGTTGGTAAACTGAAGGCACTCCAGACCCTTGATATTTCGCATAACCTCCTTCAGCATCTACCTGATGAAATTGGATCTCTGGAGGAGCTTGTTAAGCTGGAATTGTCACACAACAAGCTGAAGCAGCTTCCAGAGAGCATGGGTAAGGAGGCGAAAGAGAGCGGATGCACCAGTGCAAGGCTGTAGTAGTAATAATAACAACCTGGGATTGTGTGTGTGTGTGTGTGTTAAATTCACAAATGCTGCAGTAAACCGTTTCTCTTTTGTTGCCCAGGTGCCCTCCTCTCCCTCAGGGAGCTTGTCATCTACAGCAATGACCTGCGACTGATCCCACACTGTGTGAACAAACTGCCTCTGCTGAAAATAGATGTGCGTGACAATCCCTTGGGACGACCCCCAACACCTCCTCCTCTCCCTCCTGCTCCTGGTGAGCTAAGAGAAAAAGGGTTTCTAATTAATACGGGCTAAATCAAAGGACTGTTTTGCCAGTGTTTAAATTTGCTGTCAGCACATTCACTCTTTTCTTTCTGTTGCATCCCTGTTTTTTTTTTTTTTTTGCTAGATAAAGCAGAAATTCCAGAGTTGCACCTTGGATTTAATCAGCACAGGTACAGTGTCACTGTCAGCTACGACACATCGTCTCAATCGCTGCAGAAATGTGGTGAATCAAATTGCTCAGACGAGGTAGAAACTAAACACATCATGCTCCTTTTGCTCCTTAGTTTCTGTGTTTCGTCTGCTGGGGGTCATGTGTTTCTCCCGGGGGGGGCCGAGCTGCTCTTCCCCCCGGGTTGCCTGGTGACGACCAGAAGACTGGAGTGGCTCGAGAAACGTCCAGGAAAGAAGTTGGTGCAGCTGGAAGAGCACGACATCCTACTGAGTCGTCCACTGGAACTCCGTCCTCATGGAATTACCTTTCTAAAGGTATGGAACCAAATGTTTGTGGAACCTTATTTGATGCATTTTGCGTTGGGGGCGGCACCGAAGTGTTTGACGTCACTCTTCAAGCCGATTTCCATTCGTCCCGGTTTTCAATTCCCCAGATTTACAGTAGGAACAAATGTATTTACAGCCTTGTTTACAGTTGAGTAAATTAGATAATTTCCCCATTCATAAAGCTGTACAGAGGCTCAACTGTTTAAGGCCCTGTGTCCACTTAGTGTTTTTTCCGGGCGGAAAAACGCTGGCTGTACTCTCTGGAGTGTTTGCATGAAGCGTTTGTGCTCTGAGAAGAAAAAGCGATGCAAGTCCGTCCTGTTCTCTATGACAACAGTTTGTTGAGAACGGCCGCTGTATGACCGACACGGCTCCGTTACTTTTTTACTGCACGTTTTATATTTGAGATCTTTTTTTTTTGACCCCAGCAGACACGGAGCAAAGAGGATGTGAGTACAAGATACGATCCGTAGGAGGGTAAAATACGGGGAATATCGTACATTTTGAAAAGAGCACCTGTGACGTCAACAGCGCATTTCTGAAAAGTTGAAAGATTTTTCAACTTGAGCGCTCGGAGAAACGGCTGCACAGAAACGGCAGAGCGCTTGTAAAAAAATATGCTGGGCACTGCGCTTTTAATCTGCTGTGAACGCTCTCTACCCATTGAGAGAAGACGCCAGCGCTGACAAAAACAAACACTAGGTGGACACAGGGCCCAAGTTATTTTGATGCTTAAAGATATGCATACTGAAGGGTCTGAATGATAGTTCTGTGCTGCAAGCTGTCTGCTTGGTGTCACCTCAGTAATTTGAACAACTGATCTTTACCTGACTATTTTCTGTATCCTCTGTTTGATCTATTATGGTCCCTGGCTCTTCCTACCTTCCCTAAACGGTAAACGTTGGATCTTTTTCAGCTTAACCCAATAGGGATTCTTGACACTTGAAAATGATCTTTGTGAAGAATATCGTGAAAATAAACAGAAACTTGGACATGGTGTGTTGGTTGTCACAGGTTGCTCTTGTGCCATCTTGTGAATGTGTTCTTTAATTGTGAATGTACGTCAACTTTTGAATCTTGACAGCCTGTGGAGGTGTGTCTGCCTTATCATCGGACAAAAAGAAGAGAAGTGGCGGTGCAGCGGTTTGACGGACAGTCATGGAGCATTCTGCCCACTATCCTGCGGAGGGGGAGCGAGAGCCATAGCAGTCATCCTGGTGGACGTCCAGCCAGGGTAAAGCACGATACCTCCCACACTGCGGAACAGTTGTCATTTTGCTTTCGTGAAAGTAAAACAAAAATGACCTCTCTGTCTCTGTTTAGCTTGCCTGCTGCACAGTGAGCCAGTTCTCCTGGTTTATGGTAGTGTCCCGTCCAGTGAAGGACAGTTGCTCTCTTACGCAAGCTGGAGCTCTGCTGGTGAGCAGCGCTGATCCTGGAATTAAGCTCCAATTCCCTCCAGACTCCACCGTGCAGACCCGCACTATCACTTTACAGGTAGCACAAGAGTATATGGGCGTTCATCACAGCTTGTCTTCATGGATTCTGAGGCTTGTTAGGCTTTAGTTGTCCCTCTTGTGTATGTAGGTGCTGCAGGTGTCCGTGTCAGAGGTGCAGGCGCTGTGTGGTGATCCTCAGGCCAGCGTAAGCCCTCTCCTCTGCCTCACCCAGACTCCCAGCATACAGTTCCTGCAGCCTATCAAAGTCCAGATCCCTCTGCCATCAGGAGTCACAGGTCCAGTAAGCCCTATATCTGTACGTTCACCCTAAAGCCGGGCGTGCACTTTACGATTTCAGGCCGATTTAATCTAGATCAGACTAGACTAGAGTCCTATAACTCACCATCCGATCAGCTGCTCCTAACCGGTCAGATGATTTTCTGGCATGTTTGATGCTTTGGTTGTTCAACTGCTCACACTCGTACAGTGATAACAGAGCAATGAGTCGATTCTTGACTTCAAGACTTTATGCATACACAAAGAAGAGCTTGTACATATGAGACAACTGAAAGACAAAAAGGAGTTCTCTATTGACAGTTGTGAATTCTCCATCCCGTTGTTACTTGTACAGTGCCAGCTCTAAGGTTGTGCCGCTGTTGTCTTTAGGTCGTAAGCGATTCAGTCGTGCTGCGTGAGCAAACATTCCACCACAGCTTCTCTACAATCGTACAGTGTACGCCGGGCTTAATACATGTTATTACAGAAGTGGTTAGCTTTCTCTGGTTCTTTTGCAGGCCATACAGTCGATACATCCTGTTTGTATCTGCTACACGGAGACCCCGCAGCACAAACCTGGACTGACATCACATCTCAGGTGTCTCTCTATGTCACCCATGTTTATGCCATTTTCTACATCACACATTTCTCTTGGTAAGTTCTTATAGTTGCTTCTCCTTTATATGTTTATATGTTAACTGCACTTACACTCTACTGATAGTTGTGTGTGTGTGTGTGTGTGTGTGTGTGTGTACCTTCATAGGTACTGGCTGTGGTATACCACTCAGCGCTGTGTTAGCGGGGTGGTCAGGAAGGTCTATCAGAGGCTAAAGCAGTTTAAGGTCCAGTTCCTGGTCCTCCAGAGGAAGACTGATCCTTCACAAGTTATGCTACAGTGTTTACCTTCTAACAAGGTTTTTAATTCTTCTCTGCACTATAGCTATGCAGTTTAGTAGAACTGCTAGTGTCATTGTAGTGTTTCGTATCAATGCTTAACAGTGAAACAGTGAAAGTGTGACGCCTTCTGCCCAGGTGGACAGCAGAGTGCAGTCTTTATCTGAGCAGTATGATGGACCTCAGCCTTCAGACCTGTGTGACCTGCTGGAAGGAGAGCAGTTCTTTGCTGGCTTTGAGAAGGGCCTAGACATCAGCACAGGTGTGAATTCCTCTTCAAGGCTCTATCTTACATAAAGACTTCTGCTGCTCCCTTTCCTGTTTAAGAACTAATGATGCGCTGGGTAATTGTCCTTTCCTGTTTGTGTTTTTTTTCTTCAGAGCGGCCTGACTGTTTGGAAGGACGGCTTTGTTTCGTGTTTTACTCCAGCCTGAAGAATCTAAAGGAAGTTTACATTTGTCCAGCTCAGGGTCAGAAGGGGCCAGTGAGGGGACAGTAAGACATATTAATATCACATTCAACATTTCAGAAAGAGCTCCGTCTAATTAGTAGTAGCTCTACCAGAAAAGCTACCGGGGGATGTTATCCAAAGATAGTCTTTCAATTCAATTCAATGCAAAAAACTTTATTTGTCCCCGGGGGGCAATTCAAAGGCACACAGAGCAGTAAATTAACAACAGTGCAAGTAAACAAAACATTTTAACCTAAATATAAAGTGTCAATTTAAATACAACTTAAAGCTTAAACTTAACTTAAAAATACAAAATATAAAAGAGTAGATATAAGCGGACAGTGATCGGACTAACAAATGTAAACAGATGTAACCATAACTATGTGCAGTAGTGACCAGATGTATACAGAGCTATGTGCAAGTAAAGTCTTCAATACAACCATGGCTCTATTGAAAACAGGAACAGCCAACCATTAACTCTAAATATTTTTAAAAGATGCCTATTTCCTTATTGTTAACAAGCACAGGGTTCAGAAAAGAATACCAGGGCTTTCCTGAACCTTTACGAGGTCTTGTTCTCCTAATGGAAAATAGATGCCTTATAGGCAAATATGTTGACTGTACGTTTTTTTTTACTTTATCCATTTTCACACTAAAGTAAAGTCAGTCAGCATTTAAAAAGAAGAGAAAAGGGCTGCAGATGGCCTAGCGGTTAGGTTGAACCCCATGTACAGAGGCTACAGTCCTCCAAGGGTACGGCCCGGGTTCAACCCGACCCGTGGCTACATTCCCGCCACTCATTCCTCACTCCCTCTTTGGACTTTATCCATGGCCCTATTAAATAAAGGCAAAAAGCCCAAAAATAAATCGAGACATAGACCACACAGCTCTTTCAATGAAAAAATGATTTAAAAAGTAAAGGATAGTGCTTTGTAAATGATTGGATCTACAGCAGGACCTGTGAGAAAACAGAAGGTCATTTAGGGTGTAATTATTGGGGAAGGGGGATCGTCATCAACTAATGTGTTCTTGGGGAAATTAAAATCACTGACCTGAGCAGCTTATCTAGATCAAGTCCAAATTGTCACTTGGAAGAGAATTCTAACAAACCCTGTAACTTACACTCTCTCTGGTGACACAGTCTGAGATGTGTTGATACAACTCCATGTCATCTTGAGGTCACTTTTGGTTTATTAGTATTGATTATCAGTGCAAATTAATGTGTTTTATAAGATTTTTACTGTCATACATACACATACATTTAGCCCTTAATACTCTATTGGGAAGATGATTTAGTAATATGCATTGTAATGCATGTATATGAATTTTACATATCTTCAAGGTGTCAAGTGTAACAGTTCACTATGACTGCCCAGCTTTCTGCCAGTAACAAAAGCTGTTCTTTCTGCCCCTGAATCAGTCTCTTAAGGACACACTAGTTAGACATATGTGTTTACTTCTGTTACAGGTGTCTTTTTACAGAGGAGAGGTTCCCGACAATCTACCAGAGGAGGTGGCGAGGAAAAGGAAAGGACAAGACAGCCAGTGGCTCACAACTTTACCACTAAGACTTCCTGTGAGTGTTCTGGTTTCAGTAGCACTTTCATACAACCCCATTTCCTAAAAAGCAGGGACTTTTTAAAAATGTGAACAGAATGTAAGAACTTCTGCAAAACATTGAGATCCCATGTTTGATTGAAAATAGCACAAAGATAACAAATCATACATCCATACATGAAACTGAGAAATGCCATGCTTTTGAAAAAAGAATATGCCCATTTTGAATTCTATATCAGCAACACCTTTCAAGAAGCCGGGCGGTGGCCACAGAAGACCACCGACAAGAAAACACCTTGTAGAAAATCTTACAATAATAAGGTTTACAGCGTCAGGCAGCAGGTTAGTAACATGGCGTGATCTAAACAGAATCTCTCAAAGAGTCGGAGTCTAACTGAATTAAGAATGGACAGGCGTTCCCCTCTCTGAGAAAGACTGTACTGGGAAATAGTGCAACAGTTAAAGAGAAATGTTATCATTGGAAAATTGTCAAGGATGTGGAGGATTGCATCATCTACAGTACATATTATAACTAAGTTCTTCAGAGAATATGAAGAAATCTCTATACACAAGGGACAAGGCAGAAAACCAATATTGGATGGCCATTATCTTCTGGCCCTCAGACGGCCCTGCATTAAAACAGACACGTTTCTGTTGTGGACATCACTGCATGGGCTCAGGATCACTTAAACAAAACCTGTGACTATGAGCACGATTTGTCACTACTTCCACAAATCAGGTTAAAACTCTACCATGCAAAGAGGAAACCATACACCAGATCCAGAAACGTTGCTGACTGAGGTCATTTAAGATGGGCCGAGGCAAAGTTGAAAACTGTCCCATGGTATGACAAGTCAAGATTTGAAATTATTATTTTGAAATGAAGGCCGCTCTATCCTCTGGGCGAAGGAGGAGAGGGACCATCCGGTTTGTTATCAGTACATGGATTTGCAACTTCTTTTTCAAGTAAAAAAAAAAATACTCAAAACTGTTGAACAGCTGAAATCCCTCAAAAAGAAAGAATGGGACAGCATTCACTCTTCTAAATATCAGAAACCTGTGTCTCCTCAGTTCCCAAAATACTTTCAGAGTGTGTGAAGTGTTTGAACAGTGATTCAACAGAGTGGTAAACATGACCCTGTCCCACCTTTTTTTTGAAACGTGTTGCTGGCATCTAATTCAATATAGGCATATCATTTTCCAAAAATAATAACATTTCTCAGATTAAACATTTACTCAAAAAAGTTTATGATTTTGGTGTGCTGTCCTGATATTCTTTCAATACGTTAGTTTCAACATTTGAAAAGTGTCCCATAGCGATATATCATCCGATATCTTTCTTAGATCTATTTCGATCTATCGAGATAGATATACACATTTATTGTGTTGGAGAAAAGATGGACACTCAACTGGAAAATAACTGCACACTTCTGTGCATCACTGCTGGACACTCAGCATGATGTTGCTCGTTGTAATCCATAAAGCGCCCTCTGCTGGTGACAGCAAGGAAGAGAAACTGCTAGTTTAATCAAATGAAACTCAAATAAAATGTTATTTGACCGGTGAAAAATTCTCATGATATCGGTGTATGTCCCTGATAGAATTAGACTATACTGATAGTCACTGGATATGCTCAAATCCTGATTATTATCACCTGGCTGATTAATCAGTCGGGCTCTAGTATTTTCAATTAAATATGGGGTTTCAATGTTTTGCCAATCACATTCTATTTGTATTCAAATTTTACTCAAACCAACTCTTAAGGAGGTACGGTTGTAAAAGAACATAAAGGTTTTAATGTTTGTAAAGGTAATTGTAGAAGTAGGAGTGATTGATATGAGCCTGACAAAATTAATGAAGGCTTTTCTCTCAATAAAATTTGCTTGAAATATATATCAGTAAATCCAAATGATAATTTAGCCCTTAAATTAGTTGCTGTTTTTTCTGAATTCTGTTTTTAAGCTGTAACCAAAGAGAACATTTAACCTGCTCATACTGCAGTATCTCTTGTTGTTTTCTTGTTTTTTTTTCCACAGGCTCTGAACTCAGAAAATCATTTCATCATGGAAGAGCTCCAGTATCCTCCTCTGAACCTGGGTGACCCAGAGAGCGGATACCTGACAGAAGCCAACCTGCTGTCCATCTCTCTTCAGATAGGACAGGACTGGCGTGTTATTGGCATCAATCTTGGCCTAAGCTACCAGGAGCTAGACCGCATCCAGTACAAGTTCAGGTGGGGATGACAAAGTGCGGTTGTGTGCGTGCAGTTGTATGATTTTCTTTTTTTTTTTAATTCACTGCCAGAATGTGATGCTACAAGACAGGTTTAGCCGAACACATCTGGTTTCATTGGAAACTGTGATGTCTTCGTGAGAAATTAAAGGGGGCTTTTCAAAAGGACTAGTGTCTGTTTTTAATGTTTACAGAGTTTGAATGAATAGGCTGACCTTTTTTTATATGAAAGCAAAGCATTACATAACCTCTACTAGCTGATATTTTAACTATCTAAAGATAGACTATAATGTGTAAACATGTGAGATAGATTTACATATAAATGTCCATTATCAGTATAAGCATCTCAGAGGGGAGCAAATACTGTGTTTTAGCACGACCAAAACCCCTGAGGGAACGAGATGGAGTGAGTCGTAACGTGACTGAAGGAGGGAAATAGTCGAGAATTTGATTGTTTTAATCTGCACCGTCAGCCTTCACTAAGCCATCTGGGACACTGCAGGAGATTACGTACAGACTGATGCTCATCTGTCCCTCCCCCTCCTTCTCACGCTCAAAAAAAAAAAAAACCTCCCATGACGCTTCCTGGAGGTGGAGGAGAAATGCATTATATAAAATCAAACATGCATCCTGAGTAGAAGATTGTATGTGTGAGTTTTTTTTTTTTTATAGGAGTGAATGTAGTTTGATGGGAGTCTCCATGATGATTGTTTTCCTTTGTGTCACATAAATTTAGTACCGCACCTGAATAGGCTGTGTTGGTACATTTCTTATTGTAGGAAATAATTTTATGAGAGAGTAAGCTTTCTGTGATGTGATATCCACTTATGTTTAGCTCAAATTAAATTTTTACACCAGCTCTTTTTAGGGTGTGGGGACTAAGTATTGATCTTTGACTATATAAATTATTGAGGTAATATTGCAAATACAAATCATGCTTATTAAAAGTTGAACTAAGCAATGTGGACTGTATTACAAGTTCAGTTTGTCACCATTAAGAGACTCGTTTTTTCTGACAGTTTTGGCCAGCCTACATAGAAAAAGAAAGAAAGTATTTGCTATTGCAATGCTCAACACACAGTAAAATGTAAATATGATTTACTCTATGACTAAACTTTTGTCATAAACATCATAAAGTCTGACCTCTGCTGCTTCCTCAACCCTACTATCTTAAGAATCATTTACTTCTTCACTGTCACAGATGTAAGTTTTCTGGTGTATGTTCTGCTCTCCTCACAGGGACAACCTGGGAGCCTTGGTGCTGGACATGCTGTTCCTCTGGGCCCGGGGTCAGCGGACTGCAGGACCAGGGGCCGTGTCGAGGCTGGTGGAGGCGATGATAGAGAGCGGCAGGAGGGACCTGGCGGAGGAGATTGAGGACATTGTCAGTATAGGAAAGAGAAAGTACTCTGAGTCATTGAGGAGAGTGGGGCTGGAAGCAGAGGACTTCTCGCTCGGTGAAACGCAGCAGTAGATGGACTCACGCTGGGCGCAGATGGCTGACTTACAGTTGGGTAACCTGTTTGTTTTACAACGTGGCCCCATCACGGTTATCTCTGCCGTCTGAACAACTGTCCTTAGACACAAACAATCGCACCTTTTCTAAATCATTACTGCAGGAACAGGAGCATCTTTGTCCTACAGAAGAGAGTGGATATAAAATGATCTGCATGAAGAAGAGGGCCTGTGGATCCCCCCCCCCTCCCCCAACTATTTAAAAATCTCATAGTATGCAGGAATACATGTTGGAAGTTTGTTTCTGCTAGAGGAAGATGAATTGATGAAAAGTTGTATTTAACATGAAAACATTTTATGTAAAACAATTTGAATACAAAGACAAATTTTGACATAAATGTGGATTTTATATTTTTTCAAAATGTCTGTTGTAATGTTGAGCAGAACTGTTACTGGAAGCCATTTTTAACAATATGTTTTGATAACTCAATGATCGTTTCAGTTGCTTTCCAGCAAAGACGTCAAACATTTGTGTCTTCCACTTCCGTTATCAAAGGATTCTCTGCTTTTCTTTCTTTTATCACAGTAAATGAAGACGCTAAAAGGATTACAGCTGTTGGTTTAAATAAGAATTTTCCAAAGTCTTTGATACATTAACTGAATAATCATGTAAATAAATAACAAAGTAACCAATAATGGGGGGAAAAAAATTGGATGCAACTACACTTTTAAATTATTATCTCAAGATTTTGTCTCAGTAAGTCCAGTTTGAACCTGTTCTAAATTTTTGTTGTTATGATACTTCCAATGAGATGCCACTCTTTCAGCTGCCGAGTGCAAGAGGAGCAAACGCAGGGATCTGATGTGCTGTTAGGACCTGGATCACTAAATGTGCAAGAGACTGTCTTTTTTTCACTGTTCGTTTCATGTGCTCCTCGTGTGCCTTTGGTCACCTAGAAACTTGCTTATATACCTGCAGCAAATTCTCAGTGACATCAGGGACATTTTATGAATTTTATATCTCTAGTATAACTGTGATGTGAAGAAACGTGTCAGCTGTTTTCATAGCCTTCTGCTGAGAGTCGTGTAGGTAGTGACTCACCCCAGATGTTTTCTAATGGAGCATATTTTTTTTTTCTTTCTATTTATTGTTCAAGGTCATTGGGTTGAGATGACACGTCACGATGACGTTGTACCCCATCCTTCATCCCTACACTACTGCAAATAAAATAAATAAATCTGTACTTCTACTATAAACCACTAGAGGACCCTTTTAAATCCCCTTTCTGTGTTTTATTCGACGCTTGCCTGCCCACCCTCCCTCCCTCCCTCCGTCCCTCCTTCCCTCCCTCCCTCCGTCCCTCCTTCCCCGCCTGCCTGCTTCCACTCCCACCTCCTCTACCTCCCTCCACTCTGGACTCTCAAATGCTAGTAACACCGGTAGGTTAGTTGCTGTCGGTCTGTCAGTCAAAGATACACAGTGTGAAGACTTTGATTTTTTTTTTTTTTTTACAGTCACATCCAACACCGGGAGAGAGACAGAGAGAGAAAAAAAAAACAAGGAGACGACCACATGCGGTATGTAGATAACGGGATGCGGTTAAACGTCTTGACATGGAATTTGCCGGATGTGTTATTGTGAAAAAGCCTCTCTAATACCGTTATAATCTTACCTGTGCAGAACACGGAGGCGACACGCCGTGCAGATTTGTCCATTCCTCTACATGAAGATGATAAACGATATGAAAAGATGGCTTGTGTTTCACAATGTATGCAGCGGTTTGTCGCTTCGTTGTGAGAGAAAGAGAGAGAGAGAGAGAGAGAGAGAGAGCAGCAAAATCATTTTCCGTTATGTGGCAAGCCTGACATTTTCAACACATTGTGGGTTTTAAATGTAACAGTAATTATAAGCTGATAAAATGTTGCCATGGATGTAATGCAGCACGTATCAGACATTGTTACTATACAGTCGTTAATATGCCGGTTAATAATATGGCATGTCATGCTTTAACCCTTTAAATGGACTCGCCTTTTTTTTCCCCTCAGGTGTAAATGTTTCTGTGTCGTGATAACCGAGCTGTGAAGGTCTGTACGGACAGTGGTTTGGTTTTGGCTGTTACCAGACTAGAAACCGTATTTCCTTCTGGACTGTACAGAAGTGGGAGTGGGAGGGGGGGGGTCACTGCAGACCGCCCTCTGCCGGCTTCCGCTCAGTAGTGAGGGTGTAGATATGTACTCGTGTGGGCTGGGATGCTGATAGTGGAGAGTAAAACCCAGTTCAACTGAACCCACCTCCCCTTTTCATTGGTGGAGACCTCTGACGAGCTGGATAATCATTAACATACTGTAACTTCTTAGTAGGCCTAAAGGAAGGCACGACGCGGTCTCTTAATAATCCTTATTAATGATGAATGTTTGTCATACTGGATTGGAGGCAAGTCCTATTTGTACCCACCTTGCCATTCTAGTATAGCCTGCTGTTCACCATCTCATCTCTGAAGAGGCCTAACATCGCTTACTCAGCAAGGGCACACTTTGCAGCTGATCGAGTTTTCAAGAGTACCTGCAAACTTAACAGCAAGACATGACAAGTTTCCAGAGTATTTGTAAGGTAAGGTTACACAGAGGCCGGTGCAGTGTTGTAAAGCTTTCCTGCAGCCTTGAAATAATTGATGAGGGGAGCCATTCTTGGGTGTAGGGTGACATTGCTGGCACTGCTTTACTTATTTAGCTTTACTGATGAAATCATACCGATCATTGAAGTAAAAAAAAAAAAAAAAACACACACACACGCAATTTAATACAGGCCTACATCTATATAGCATTCATGACGGGTGCTAAAATCCCAGAGGCTTGGGCTAGCAAATGTCACGGGTGTGTGTGTGTGTGTGTGCACTGAATGGCAATGATGTACAGCCGTGCTGGTGGGAAGATGGATGGTGATGCTTTGTGAAAGTTAAACTCCATCTGGCCCTTCATGGCTGTTCTATAATCTGCAAACTGTAACCAGATGCTCAAATGCTGCATGTGGCTTTTTATCGACGGAAAGCCTTCAAGCAGGGGTTTTATTATTATTATTTTTTTCTATCAAGGATGTAGGAAAGCTGAGAGGGAGACAAAACAAAAGAGATGCAATGGAAAGCGCCCAGGGTGACTTCAGAAACTGGAGCACCATCAATACCTGTAGTGTCTGAGGGACCAAACCCTACACCACCTCTCTGCACTGAAAGGACATTTTGGCTGCCTGTTAGTTGAACTCCTCGGCTTGTTATTTCTGATCTACAGCAGGTGATAAATGTAACAATGCATTACTGTGCAGGCATTACTGGCTGTAATGTGAACTCCGTGTCGAGGACCTGTAGTGTAAATGCATGGGCTGTGTCCTGATCGTAACTCTATGGGCCACCGGTTGTAAATGGAGATGGTGAACAAGCTTTCATAAGTAGGCATTAGGGTTTGTAATCCTGATGCAGTAGGGAAGAGGAAATAGTAATCAGAGTTATCTGTGACGCCAAAAAAATTCATCCCTTGTTTCCGCAGTGCTCTAGATGTCCCGAAATAGCACGCATCTCATAAACCAGCATTTGGGGGGGGAAAAAGCAGGATAACCCCACCAGATCAGCTGTCAGTGCAGAGAACTATTTACGAACCAATCCTTTTAGAAGATCCAACAAACACACACACACGCTGACGATATGAAGCTTAAAGTCAGCTGTTTTACTCTAGCTAGCTTTGCTGTAGATGTGTACGTTTTTTTTTTTGGGACATTTCTCTGTGATCTTGCAGCTCAGAGACGTGCTCACCATCTGATGGAGATTTGCAGGAACACACTAGAGACTGAAACAGTGGTCAGTGCAGGTCCTCTCTCATTAGCTTAGAGCTGGCAGTGAATATATTAACCAGTTCATGCGAGACAGATGGACTGGTATTTACAGCCTGATCCAAGCTCATGAGAAATGGCTTGTGTTGATTTCTCATTGCCGTCTTCTTTTTTCCACTATGGCCACAGTCACATGAGCGGAGTGCTGACTACAACAGCGCTTTGTTGCTGCTTTAGACACCCACTTCCTCCTGTCAATCACCAAACTCCCTGTCACTCAGTTAGCGAGACCTTTACCCTGTTTGCCACAACAAGACAGAGAGGCAGACAATGAGCCGGGATGGACGAGGTATTATGTCTCCTCTGGGTGATTTGAATGAAGGAGTATAGTTTGCATGTTTTGCATAGGAAATACATTGGCATCTATTTCTTGGTAGATTTTCAGTGCCTGCAGGGTTGTATTTGTGTTTTAACAAATGGATTTTCTGAAGAGTTTTTTGAGCCCCGGTCTCGACTGTATGAGAGTCTATGGTTGTTCCCCCTTTGCCCCATGGGACAGCATTTACATCCCCTTATACCTGTGAGCATTTACAGGTAAAAACTGGTCATCATGTTTGAAAATCTCTAAAACGTTTCTTTTTGAAGTTTCTTTTTGAAGCTGGAAGTGTAATGTCCTCACTTCTAGCTGGAGGACATAACTTATCAGGGTCCTTGTCAGTAAAGCAGCGTTTATTGCCTCTTTCTTCAAGGTAAAGTTTATGAGCAAGGGTCAGAAACGGAGCCGTTATCTGTTTGATAAAGTATTTAAAGGCTCTGCATGGCAGCCAAGTTTCACAATCACCTTGCCTTTTGTTTACTAATCAGTGCTTATCTAGGTACAAACTCAAAATATGACCTCTGTGTGAGTCTGAACAAGAGATTTTTCATCTTTTCAGTCACTTTAAACCAGTTTTCATTCTTATTTAATGCCGATCCCCCTGCAGTTTTGATTCATGTATTGTTCTTGTGCTGTGAGAACAACATGACTGTCTTGGAGATTTGGGTGATGAGTACTGCCACTGTGCTGTTGGACACTGCAGACACTGAATCGCTTGATTTCACAGACTCTCTTTTGTCATGTCAGGACAGCAGACAGCCAGGCCGTGTCCGTGAGTCAAGCTAACGTCCTGGTGCAGATGTAGTGGTGTGGTGTTGATGAACTGAAGTGGACGACTAATGCCGTAAACTACAATGGTGACGGGAGAGAAATGCCCATTTTAGGGGGACTCATAGGAGAATGCATTGAGCTTCAAAACCTAATGCATTTCCTCCTCACACAGAACATACAGTTTTGTAAATAAATAGTGACTGCAATCAGAAAATAGGGAAATAGAAGCATGCAGTAGAGTGAGGAGGTGGGTGTTTCTCACGGCTGTCGGGTGAGAAAATGTTCAGGATCAGTTTGAGGGAGACGAATGACAGAGGAGGGCTGTGAAGTCGGCTGTGTGACGCTCCAGGGAGGTGAGAGGAGAACAACCCAGGCAGCAGAGACCAGAGAGGTCCTTCCCTCCTCCTCCTCCTCCTCCTCCTCCTCCTCCCTGCACCTCTGGAGCAGCCAGCGTGGGCCTCAAGTCCCCATCCAAACCAAACAGAGCCAGACCGCAGCTGTAGTAATCAGAAACCTAAAACATCCACGCTCACGCTGTGCAATCTCTTTGAACCTGAATGTTGGGGAGATAAGTTGTAGATGCACTTCACGATGAAAAAAAAACCTGCAAGTCAGCAGAGATCTGAGACGGAAAAGCTGTGTTTTGAGAGTCGTGACTCGTGACTGAGGGAAATGATGTGGGGGGGGGGAGGGGCTGGTGTGGAGTAGAGAGGAGGAGGCGGGTTGCAAACGCAGAGGCAGCTTGTGATTGGTGGATGGAGGGGGTGGAGAGAGTGAAAGGGGAAATGGAAATCGTCTTTTCATATTGAGGACATTATGGACCAGAAATAGGGAGCATCTTGGCCCCATCAGGCATATTTCTTCTGTTTACACAAAAAAAAACGACTTCCAAGCCTGCAGATGATAAATCTTAACCTGTATGTTAAACAATATACGATTCCAGTTACACAATGAAAGAGCTTCTGATTAAACCACGAGTGCTCAAGGACACACATGACGCACAGATGTGTTGGTGATAGTGGATTAGTTTTAACACAGAGTAATCTCTCCACAGAGATATCCACAGCTCAGTTTCAAAGATGCTGCGCAGTGGTTGTCTATCTGCGTTCATTGTTTTAGTCAGGGATGAATATGTCACTCTTGATTAATCAGCTGTATATCTGAAATATCCTATAGTCTATTACGAAAAAAATATCAGCTATTTTGATTATCGCTTTTTTTTAAGAGGAAACAAGCATTTCCTCAATCAAGTTCTCCAGTTGTGAGTATTGATGTAATTATCGTCTTATGTTTTCATAAACTAAAGATCTGGATTGTGTTGGACAGATTCATTCTGTTAACCAGCCACTCTACTTTTATGGAGGGCTGTGTGTTCTTTATGCAACATTATTTGAATTGGACTCACAGGCTTTATTGATTTTTTTTTCATAAACTCTCTTTGGAATAAGACTCTCTTTTTTTTAAAGAGATATTTTGGTGCCTTTCATTTGATAGGATAGTGGATAGAGAAGGAAATCCGGAGAGAGTGTGGAGAATGACATGAGGGAAAGGATCCACAGGTCGGATTGGAACCTGGGCCAACCACTTGGAGGACTCCTTACACTGTATGAACCAAACGCTAGGCCATCTGCGTCCCATAAGTTTCTCTTAGTACTTACAAATTCATCTGAGTTGAATCAGGCGTTGCTTGTCTTTTTTTTAGGACTTGGTTTCAATTTCCCAACACCTGGCAGCACTGATAGCATGTCATGTCATCCCACCTGCAACCTGGGGTTGTGTTTGGTTTGAGCTCACGTACTGTATGAGGAGAGGGAGAAAGTTCTTTTTTTTTTCCAGCCCTACAGCCTCTGATCCTCACTGGGGAGACTTACTTAATCGTCCTGCAAAACCTTCAGTAAATACCAACAGCTATTTCCGACCAACAGTCAAATACCGGACTAGTTCTGTAGGACTTTAAGACTGTAGAATTTCTTTTTTTTATTGTCGAAGGTGGGGGGGGCGTTAGTGGTAGTTACAGACGCATTTTCAAATGAAAGAACTCTCTGTTCAGGTTTGGTAGAGTCACTGAGCGGAGAGCCCATCTCTGAGTCTGCTCCCTGACAGTTCTGTGTCACTTCTCACGTCTCCAAGAAGTCTGATACTGCAGCTCTCTTTTTCATCTGTTTATTTAGGAGGATCACACTTCAATATTTGGATGCATTCTAGCTGTTATTTCTTTGGACAGATGCGTCTTCTAAAAACATGTTATTAAACCAACAATCAAACCATCTTTGGATTTAGTCAAGTGAGATGGAATTATGTAGACACGGCATTAAGCGATGTTGCATTATTATGAAGCTCTCCTTTTTTTGTATTACATTTCAGAAAGTAATCTGATCTTGTCCTTTTGTGTTTTTTTTGTTGTTGTTTTTTTTACAGTTATCCCCTAACTGAAACTACCAGCCACTGCACAGAAAAGAGAGCCGACAAAGCATAATCAGACTACAGTAATCCCACTGTGAGAGCAACACACGCTATTGTTCCAAACGTCGGGAGCCAAGGACGACCACCGAGTGACTAGCTTACAGACATACTGTCTCTTTGACCAGCCAGGGCTTAACATAAATGGCTGACAAGCAAATCAGGTAAGGTTTGATAAAGCAGCACTGCAGCTTTATTCGTCATCTGTTGCCCTCTCACATGTCACGTTTTGGTCTTAATTGTTGTCTCCGTCTCACAGTTTGCCTGCCAAATTGATCAATGGGGGGATCGCTGGCCTGATTGGAGTGACCTGTGTGTTTCCCATTGACCTGGCCAAGACTCGCTTGCAGAACCAGCAAAATGGAGCTCGCCTTTACACCAGCATGTATGAAACTCGTGTGTTTCACTGTTAGATTTTCAAAGTCTCCAAATCATTGTTTTCTGCTGCAATCTTAATAAAACCTAGTTTTTTTTTTTAACAGATTGTTTGGTAGCACTCCGAGAAACAAACCTCAACTTCTGTATTTGTGTTTCAGGTCAGATTGCCTTATTAAGACCATCCGGTCAGAGGGGTATTTTGGGATGTACAGAGGTGAGTTCTGAACCTTCACTCGAGTCTTTTCATTACTGGGTTAGCTCATAGAAGGTCATTTTTTTAAATATTGTTTGTAGGACTCTGTTTCAGCTTCATAGTCATGGTATATACTTGGTTCTAGGTAAATATCTTTACACTTGAGTATTGTGGTTTTATGTATTTTGTTACCTTATTGTTTCTCAAAAACACTGTCAGTTTGTTTTGGTTGGTGGTTTAAAGCAAATGTTTGTTCTCTTTACTGAAAGATATGAATCCCTTGCTGTAGATTTTAGAAAAAGTGCTACAATGTCGGATGTTTAAGGAACTTTAATAAATAAAAATGCTGGTCCCATTTTTAGAAAAAGGATGTTTGAAGATCTTTTCTTTTACTCCGATTTATATGGGTGATGTTTTTTGTATAATAGTTTACCAAAATTTGTTTTTAGAAAGATCCCAATATACAGTAATGCCATTCTTACTGTATCACAAAATATAACAATACAGATATTGACTGAAAAGCCCAATACGGTCGTGCATATTGTATCACCAAGTTCTTGCCACTTTATAGCCTGAGCACAGATATCCAAAACTCAGCTTCCACAGCCTCATTGTCTCTCTTCCTTCTCTATTTCTTTTTTGTCTTTCTCTTCCTCTTGCCTCTCTCTCTCTCTCTCTCTCTCTCTCTCTCTCTCTCTCTCTCTCTTACCCTCTGTCCTTTTGTCTCTTCAGGAGCGGCGGTGAACTTAACACTAGTCACACCAGAGAAAGCCATCAAGTTGGCCGCTAACGACTTCTTCAGGCAGCACCTCTCCAAGGATGGGTGAGCCATGGAACTGCTGACAAGCTGCATGTTGCACACACACACACACACACACACACACACACACACACACACACATACATGCACACACTCCCCTCATTCACGCCGTGATTAACTGTCGTGTTTACTAACATGTAACCTGACACATTAGCTCGCTGTGTTTTCACCGAGCCTCTTGTTAATCCTCCACCGTTGTGTCGCTCCGTCTTCAAGCACCGAGCGTTTCTTTAACTGTCTAGTTTAAAAATACAGAATGGCTTGTATGCCGGTCGGCTTCTGTCCTGCATGAAATCACGTCACCAGCTGCTTCAATGCATCACCCATCAGTGTCCCCTCATGTGCACTGCTTGCACAGATACAACTAAAAGTTTTTCTAGGGCATTTCTCTCCATCTCTATGGCGACAAACACGCAGGCTGATGAATGATTGACTTCTCTTGCCTGGCCGCTCACCTTGTGAATTATTAATCTGCCCTTGTGCCTGACATGTTGATATGGAAGACAGAGATTAGCATCACCAGCCCGGGTGGTGACAACTCCTTTATCTTTTCTTTTTTTTTGACAGTTGAAATAAAAATGGCCACTCTCTCACACTGTCAGTCTACATCATGAATCATCTGATCTTTTTTTTTTAATATCTTTATTCTTTCAGAAAACTCACTCTGGTCAAAGAGATGCTGGCTGGATGCGGGGCAGGAACATGCCAGGTGAGTGAGTGAGTGAGTGAGCGAGCGAGCGAGTGAGATGTTGCTTTAATTGCATCCTCCTGTTCTCCATCTGGACCTGCTACCATTAGCGCTGCCTGTGTCAGCTCACGCACCAACCACATCGCCTCGTTCGTCACTGCCTCCAGCTGGAATAAGCCACGACCAGATTTGCATGAGAGGCTGTAGCAGAAACATACTTGCAACTTGTCTCTTTTTTTTTTTTTTCAAATGAACATAATATTGTCCTTTTTAGCAGGACATAGTAACACTGGCAACTCCGTTTGAGTGATCAGATAAGACGCTGTGAGAGTGCCAGACTATGTAAACTGCAGATATGTGCTGGAGTGTGAGCCGTAGGGGAAAGGCCTTTTGTCAATGGGGGCAAAGGCTTCAAGCCTAAGGAACGTGATTAGATTAAATGTAGCAGACCTTGGATTAAGATTGTGGCTGAGAACACGGCCATCTCACCCGTAATCCTGTTAACTTGTTACTACTGTGTGGATCACCGAGGCAAACAAGAGGTGACAGAGGGCTAATGCATGCTAGTAGATTTACAGTGGACACACGTTTTGCCTGACATGCTCTGTGTTAAATCAATCCTCCTGAACTCTTTGTATTGATGCTTTGTAACACACTGTGGATTTGTTGCGCTGTACCTGACACATTGTGATTTGTTTTTTCATTTTGATCGTAGGTTATCGTCACGACTCCTATGGAGATGTTGAAAATCCAGCTCCAAGATGCTGGACGCGTTGGTAAGAGAAAATGAAATCCAGATGGTGTTAAAGCAAAGAATGAAGGTTGATGGGGGGAATGTAAGAGATACACTGGAGTGAGAGTGGCCTCGTGTGGTCATACCAGAGATTACAACATCTTTATTTTATTTTTTTCTGTACTAGTTTTCAAAATGTATGTAGCTTTGTGTTATTATTGTTAGCTTTACATTAAACAGTTTGTCTCTATTTTGGGGATATTTTTTTGCCTTTTATTGGATAGGACAGCTGAAGAGGGACAGGGGAAATTGGAGGAGAGATAGTGGGGGATGACATGCAGCAAAAGTTTGGATTTGAAACCAAGGCTGCTGCGACAAGGACTATAGCCTCCCTACAGGGGCGCGCAACATAATCCCTAGGCTATCCGGCGCCCTAAAAGCTCTTACTATTCTTAATGTTTTGTTTCTAATGCTCCACAGCGGCTCAGAGGAAGCTGATGCCAGAGACGGTGGCAGCAGGTACTGTGGAGACCAAGTCCCCAACAGCCATGCAGCTAACCAGAGAACTACTGAAGGAGAAGGGCATTGCCGGGCTGTATAAAGGCCTTGGAGCCACCTTGCTCAGGTAAAACAGATATTGTAACAAAGTGGTAAGTTTACAAACCGTCTGTAAAGAACCACACACACATAACTTTCTCTTCTACTCGTAGGGATGTTCCTTTCTCCATCATCTATTTCCCCCTCTTCGCCAACCTGAATAACCTGGGCAAAAGAGGCTCTGAAGGACCTGCACCTTTCTATGTGTCCTTCATATCAGGCTGCGCTGCCGGAAGCACAGCGGCTGTTGCCGTCAACCCTGTTGATGGTGAGCAGTGGGACTTTGAACATTGTAAAAGCCGTGTTTTTAACCATTAAGCTGTGATTAATAATCACACGAGCTCTGTGTGTTTCAGTGATAAAGACCAGACTGCAGTCTCTGAACCGAGGAAGCACAGAAGACACGTATAGTGGAGTGACTGACTGTATCAGGTGACCTCATTATGTCTTTGCTGCTGCATCATGTGTGATATAGTGTGTGCAGTGAAGTCAGAATGTGTCTCAAAAGGATCTGTCTTGTTGTGTGCCTGTATGACTCCACACATTTTACATGAAGAAATGAAAACAAGTGCCTAATCACTCCAAAATACAATGAAATATTAAGAACATACAGTATGAGGTAAAACACTGTGCACCGGATTTAACTAGTGCTTGTTGCGTCCTTCACCTTTTTATAATGAGTTTTTTTTATGCTCTACAGGAAAATCTTGCGTAATGAGGGTCCATCAGCCTTCCTGAAGGGAGCCTACTGTCGAGCCTTGGTCATCGCACCGCTGTTTGGCATCGCCCAGGTGATCTACTTCCTGGGTGTGGGTGAATTTATCCTCAGCTTCATGCCTAACAAAGACAAATAAAAGGCAACCTCCTCTCTGCCTTTCCCTCCCATAACGCATCACAAACAACTGCGCGAAGGTTCATCTCATTGTGAAAAAAGTGGAAGGGTCGAAGCACGACTCATTCAGTACATTTCATTTTAAATTTGTTGTGTTGAATGTTGAAACAGTTTAGGACAGAGCCTTTCTTTTTTTTGTTGTTGCCAAGCTGCCTATGGTGGCACTACAACTTCCAGTAGGCACGCTCAGCTAGCACTCTGGAAATGAAGCCACAAATATCAGTTGAGTCTTAAAGGAATAACGCTTTATGATTACGACTTTTTTCTTTGTTTTGTGCAATTTTTGAATATGATTGTGAAATTTATGAAGTAGATGTACTGCCCTTGGTTGCTGCAGTTCTGCAAGCCCTACAGTACCTGGTTTTTACAACAATAACCCTCTGGAAGACCATAGTTAGCTGGCTCAATAACATGCACATTATTTACTTAGAAAGATCATTAAACACATTAGAAGGGGTGTAATGAAATAGTATTTAAAGAATCTCCCCTTAACCTTATGTCTTAAAAAAATAGTACGCTTAGAATTGGAGAAAATTATATGCCTCTGTTTCAGACAAAGACCCCAGGAATGTGTTGATGTGCTTCCAGCACTTCTCCTCTGATCTTTCCTGTGAAACCACATCCCTTCCTGTAAGTGGATGTAATGAACTTCGATTGCCTTGGCTTTTGAAGTAGATCAGGTTCCATCTGATATTTTACACTACCACAATGGTTTGGCTGTTCTGCCTCGTATCAGTTACCCCTGGTTTCTGGTGAACAAACAGAGCGCCACTTTTTGTGGGCATTATGCAACAGGAAAACTAAATGTATGCATTGTTTTCCTCGACACAGACTCTTAAAAAAACACTGCTTCTATACCCTGCTTGTTAAGGGTCAAAGTCATTATCAGTTGGTCTTGTGGCCACGCCCCAAACAGTGATGTCACAGCAGTGGTTTGGTCCTTTCCATTTCATGTTCGTTGTTGATGAATGATGGACCGCCCTGCTGTGACATCACTGATCAGTTAGTGGTCAGATGTGCAGGGTATTTGAACATTTTAGTGCAAACATAGAGAGCAGTGTGGCTGCAGTTTTCTGCCCAGTGTGATTCATTGTTTGTTCAGGTGAAAGCATTAGCTGTGAACACTAAATGGCTTGAAATGATTTCCAGTTTATTGGAAGATATTTAGCAATTTGGCTGACAAATCACATCGAGTACAGTCCACCATTGTGGTGGCAATAACACTTTAACTGGAGTAGATGATAACCCCTCGGAGCCAAACATATTTATTATTGTTTACAGATGATCACGCTCACTTTAAAATTCTACTTTGAACTTGAAGTCAGTGGCAAGACCCCAAAGAGGTAATGAAAAAAAACGTTTTTCTTTATCAGACATTGAACCAATGGTTTCAATGTTTTTGAGTTTCACCAAACATCTCTAATTGTTTGCTTTAGAAGGTTTTGTTTGCTTTAAGCCGCAGTGGGAGCGAGAAGGAATGTGATTGGATAATACACAAAAGTCACCTTGATCTCCGGCGAGATAAACAATGGCAGGGCTTCATTGTTGTGATGCACAAACAAGATACGACAAGGGCTGCTCTCCCAGCGGCTTAAAGCAAACAAAACCTTCTAAAGCAAACAATTAGAGATGTTTGGTGAAACTCAAAAACATTGAAACCATTGGTTCAATGTCTGATAAAGAAAAACGTTTTTTTTCATTACCTCTTTGGGGTCTTGCCACTGACTTCAAGTTCAAAGTAGAATTTTAAAGTGAGCGTGATCATCTGTAAACAATAATAAATATGTTTGGCTCCGAGGGGTTATCATCTACTCCAGTTAAAGTGTTATTGCCACCACAATGGTGGACTGTACTCGATGTGATTTGTCAGCCAAATTGCTAAATATCTTCCAATAAACTGGAAATCATTTCAAGCCATTTAGTGTTCACAGCTAATGCTTTCACCTGAACAAACAATGAATCACACTGGGCAGAAAACTGCAGCCACACTGCTCTCTATGTTTGCACTAAAATGTTCAAATACCCTGCACATCTGACCACTAACTGATCAGTGATGTCACAGCAGGGCGGTCCATCATTCATCAACAACGAACATGAAATGGAAAGGACCAAACCACTGCTGTGACATCACTGTTTGGGGCGTGGCCACAAGACCAACTGATAATGACTTTGACCCTTAACAAGCAGGGTATAGAAGCAGTGTTTTTTAAGAGTCTGTGTCGAGGAAAACAATGCATACATTTAGTTTTCCTGTTGCATAATGCCCACAAAAAGTGGCGCTCTGTTTGTTCACCAGAAACCAGGGGTAACTGATACGAGGCAGAACAGCCAAACCATTGTGGTAGTGTAAAATATCAGATGGAACCTGATCTACTTCAAAAGCCAAGGCAATCGAAGTTCATTACATCCACTTACAGGAAGGGATGTGGTTTCACAGGAAAGATCAGAGGAGAAGTGCTGGAAGCACATCAACACATTCCTGGGGTCTTTGTCTGAAACAGAGGCATATAATTTTCTCCAATTCTAAGCGTACTATTTTTTTAAGACATAAGGTTAAGGGGAGATTCTTTAAATACTATTTCATTACACCCCTTCTAATGTGTTTAATGATCTTTCTAAGTAAATAATGTGCATGTTATTGAGCCAGCTAACTATGGTCTTCCAGAGGGTTATTGTTGTAAAAACCAGGTACTGTAGGGCTTGCAGAACTGCAGCAACCAAGGGCAGTACATCTACTTCATAAATTTCACAATCATATTCAAAATTGCACAAACAAAGAAAAAAG